AGGAATACCAACGTAAATCAGCCAGCCAACAGCTTCGCATCCAGCGAAAGTCCAACTGAGTAGATGCACACAGCGAAATAACTGAAGAGCACGCAGTGGTCAAGACACTCTTGTTCAGAGTCAATCAAGGACAACATAAAACACAGCGCTTTTGGCTTGAACGGTGTAATTTGTGACGTGACCCATTCAAAGCAGTTCTGGTCGTTTGTCAAGCATGTGACAGGCGCCGGGAGAGCAGCAGCAGCAGCAGTAGCAGCAGCAGTGCTCGGATCCCAGGTTAATGGTTGTAGTATGTATTCCATGTTGTGTTTCTTGTTGTTGTTGTTGTTGCTGCTGCTGCTGTTGCTCGTTGCCGGGGTGGTTTTGACTTGTCCGAGGACAAGTCCAGTCGAAAGAGACGAAAGAGCAGGAAAAGTCGAAAGGCAAAGACAAGGACGACGAAGGCACAGCGGCCTTTGGTTGAAATATTTTCTATTTCATTGATGCGGGGATGTCTTAGAACCACTCAACAATTGGAGACCACCGCCTATTCAACAACAAACATTGACTTTGGTGACTTTCTCCAATTTCTGCATACTGTGAAGATCATGATGCGTCTTTCTGTGGCAGGTTGATTCTAAGTTTGCTTTCGGGAGTGCTGCGATCTCATGTGCATGCAAGTGGGAGTGTGTGAAGCTTTGCACCCTCCAGAAAAAGTAAAAAACAAAGGTGTGATTGTCAGGTCAACAGGATCAACTTGCCCCCTGGTCTTATTTTTGTCAGCTCCTTCCCCTCAGCTACACACATTGGCCAATCCCCTCAATCCATTTTGCTGCTTTGCAGGGACGAGCCTCCAAAACTCGGCGCCAGAAGCGGCGAGGGAAAAGCTCGGGGTCGTACCTTGAAGGCATATTATGGGGTAAACTGTGCATCGTCGTGCGATGTGACGAGTTGCAAGCAGAACCTGCGCAAGACATGAATGAAGGATGGTCATGTCACCGTCATGTACCGAATGGGATGCGTTCAGCCAGTTGCACAAGTCACGGGATTGATGTATTGGGTGCATACCGTTACCTTGCTGGCCTATCCGCCTTACAGTTTTGTTCCATCCAATCTAATGGCAACCCAACATCATGTCCTAAAATTGACCCCAATATCCCACTTTTGGCATCTTCTCATTTCCAAGACCCGGTCCATACTCGCAACCCAAAGTGTTGAACGTCGTATTGGGAGGCGCATTGCTTTGACGGCTGATGGTGCGAAGTCGTGATCAACCGGTGTATTGGGTGAATTGAGGAAGGACTTGGGACACCAAAGCCAAATGCGTTTGGGGAAGTAGGTCATTTTGACACCACCTTTCCAATGGGCATACCTTAAGCAAAACGAAAGATTTGCAAGTGTATATAATTCCTTTTGCAGAGGGTTCTACAGACATGTCCTACAGGTTTCGTTCTTGTTGCGACATTGAAGTGGCCCGAATTCCAAACATATGCTCCAGTCCAGTTTCCCAAGAGGACAGGCCCCTGTGAGATAACAAGTGGGCCTGGGCCCTGTGGTCGGTTCGAGTGACCCTCTAGAGGGTTTTTGGACGAATCATCCCATGTCAGGACACATGTCAACTGGCCGAATTTGGCAAGCCTGACTATCGGAACCTCATGGTGAGTTCACTTTAGGATGATTGGATTTTCTGGACTGCTTGTACAGTCTTCTCATCATAGCGCCTGTTCATTTATCTATCTCTCTGTCTCTGTCTCTGTCTCTATCTGGCTGTCTCTATCTGTCTGTCTGTGTGTCCAACTCTCTATCTGCCTATCTCTCTATCTGTCTATCTCTCTATCTGTCTATTTCACTATCTGTCTATCTATGTATCTGTCTATCTAAATCTATCCAAGCCTATCTAAACCTATCTAAATCTATCTAAATCTATCTAACTCTATCTAACTCTATCTAAATCTATCT